AGCCGGTTATAATTAAAAAAAAAACCACTTTTTTTTGGTATAAATTTAGTTTAATACCTGAAACTCGAAATTTACTTGTTATATATTTTCGGTTCTGATTACGATCTATTATTACTATAACTTTAACATTAATTTGTTGTTTAGATAAATAATTATTATGAGTTTCCCATGGAAATTGATTTAGAAAAATATTTATCATCTGAAGCAGAAAAAATAAAACAGCATAAATATTTACTTTATGGGTTTGTAAAAGCAGGATTCCTTTATATGAATATTTTTTCATAATAGATTAATATTCATACCTTTTATTGTTTCAGAGTACTTGTTCATAGTGGTTATTGTTATGGAGGTCGATATTTTGCTTTAATAAAACCAAATAAGAATGGCAAATGGTTTTAATTTCAATTCATTAATTTCTTAATATTTAGACTATATAATTATCAGATAATTAATGTAGTCATATTTAACAGGCTAAAATTTGATGATGATAGAGTTTTACCTGTAACAGATAAAGAGGTACTTGAAAATAATTATGGGGACGGACTCTCGAGTGCATATGTATTAGTATACATCCGTGAGTCTGATATCGACAATGTATTATCTCCAATGCCTCCTGAAGATATACCGAAAAATTTGCGTAAGTATTCTTTTAAGGTATCGCAATTTAGATTTGGTGGTGAATTTATTTTGTTGTTTTAATAGAAAGTCATCTCGATGGGCAGAAAAAGAAAGAATCGGATGAAAAAAAATCTTGGTTGTATGTCAAGGTAACTCGGTCAGATAATAATGAATTTAATATTTATTATAAATATAAACTTTTATCTAAACTATTACTTTTAGATTGCAACCCCAAAGACTCTTAATCTCCACCAAGATTATGGTGTTGCTAATTTTAATGATCCGCTATCTAAAGTTCCACAATTTAAAGTTTTAAAAACCGAAACATATAGAAACTTCAAAGCTAGACATGTAACCAAACTTGAAATTTCAACTGAACAAATAAGATTTTGGGTATTTAGGCAACATGATATTACGCCAATTTCAGAAAATTGGATTGATTTTTGTAAGTTATTCGTAAATAAGTTTCCTATGATTTTATTTTGTTTATGATAAATCTTTTAACTTGTTTGTGATGAATAGCAATGGATAGAGTTTACAATGGATTTGGTCTGAGACAGAATGAAATGAATTTGTATTTGGAAATTGCACACAAGCCAATTAATGGCGAGGTAATCTTTTTTAATTATTTATTACACATATTACCAAACATATTCTATTTTCATTTATTTGATATGTATAGGCATGGTTCCCGCCAGCCGTGAGAAATCCTTACGTAATGATTTTCGTCAAGTATTTTGACCCTAATACACAATATTTAGAGTATGTTCCATTAATTTATTATTAATTTTGTTAATTTTATTATTAATTTTATTATTAATTTTATTATTAATTTTTATTATTAATTTTATTATTAATTTTATTATTAATTTT